TAAATAAATAAATAAAAAATAAAACTTTGCATTGATAATTTACAGATTATTAATGTTGGTCATCACAATTATAAAAAAATTTAAATGATTTTTCTCAACTGTGGCCATTGTTTAGGATTGACAGGAACTAGTGCATAGACCAGTAGATTAGTTGTTGCACTTTGAATAGCAACTGTTCTAACATTCCCTCCATCCTAACCCGAAAGTAGTGACACAAAATATATGTATTCTTGCGTCCATTCATCCTCAGCAGTGAGCTCAATCATTTTACAATCCATTCAGCACAAGACAAAGGTCTCTGTTCCTTAGAAGTCAATGTTTGACTATAAATAACAATGACAACAACGGAGTATGTTTCCTCCTTTTACTTGTGACTACTCATGTTCACTGAGTAGGTAGGAATATAGATAACTGAGGATAGAGAGATAGTACAGCGGGGAGGATATTTGCCTTGCACAAGTCTAATCCAGGTTTAATCTCCAGCACCAAATAGATGCACTAAGCAATGTACTAGGAGTAACCGCTGAGCACAGAGCCAGAGGTAAACCCAAACCTTCCCAAAATAATCTAAACATTAGACAGTAAATCTGATATTTCTTTCATGAACATATAGACACTGGTTACACAAAAAGCAACAAAATAGACTAGATTTACTCAAGTGCCCTATGGTTCACGAGACAGATTAGTATATATGATATTTATAGAATATATATTATATATGTATGCATGTATGTAGAAACAGAGATCTTTGGGATAATACTGACTTAGACCAAAAAAAAAAACAAAGAAAGTACAAGGTCCTGAGATAGTCCAGTAAAAATGAATTCTAATACAAAGTCCTAAGAAATAAATTGGAGATTAGTGGTGATGGAGATGGTGAATGTCAGATACTTGGAGAATTCATCTTTGACTTTTTTCCTTCGAGTGCCATGGGGATCACTGGAAAATTTTCAGCTAAGAAAACTTAAAACCTGTCTTAATGGCCCGTCCAATGATTATGTTACATGTATTCATACATATATGTTATATGAACAGAAAAGAGAAGCCAGAAAGTACTGTCATAATGGATGCTTGGGAATTACCCAAAGTAGGAGAAAGACCATTTCCAGCCCAATTGACATGCGGTCTTGACAAAGGAACTAAAACGAGAACGAGCTTGTCTTGTAAGAAAATGCAATTTAGCATGGCATCAAGGCAATTAATAAGGTAGAAGAAATAAGAAAGGAACTCAAGAGACATGCTGGGGAGCACTGAAGGATTTATAGATGCCTGATCTTTGCAAACAGACTTAATCCTTTGGATAGAGATCATATATGTCTTTATCTATAATGTTAACTGTATGTATAAAACAGCGGTGCTCTTCAACATCCAAATGAACTGCATACACCATTATTGATAAAAGGCTTTGCACATGGCTGGAATAAAATATTTTGGTACATTTTGATAAAATATTTATCCTAGATATCTGATAAACTTTTTGGATTTATTGATTAATGTAACAGCTATTAAGTTATGCATTTAAAATATAGCGTAGCAGTAAATTTTAGAAAAAAATAGCTCGTTCATCAAGTATTTAAGAGAAACATGTCTCCCACATAAGGATTTGGGGAGTAAAAAGCATGTTATTCTGACTCATTTCATCACCTGTTTGCTGGAGATGCCAGTAAGAAGTGGTTCTGCTTCATGGCCCTTGAATCTGAGTTTGGAAGTTCTAAATTCCAACAAAACTTCAAGGAATAGATGTGGAAATACAAACTAGATATACCTTAATTCAATAGGACTATACATTCTATAAAATGAAATCTGAAAAACATTTGCTAACTCATAATACTCAGACTCTATAGAAGATTCTCTCTTGTTCTTGTTGTGGCTGGCCATTCTTGGTTAAAATTCAGGGCCTCCCATATGCACGGTACCTGCTCTATCTATGTCCAGTAGTGGAGTGCATAGAAATGTCAGAGCTTGAGTTCAGTCCCTGGTAAGTGTTCTCTGAGAACCGCCCTTATAATTTCTGATGACATGAGTTTGCAGTCTGGGGCTTACCGCAATCAAACATGTGACCCCAAACATCATAACAAAGACAAGAAGAGAGAAGAAATAAGGGAAAACCATCATACTGTATTGGGTGGTCTGAAACAGAATTTAAGAGACAAAAAGAAAGAATCTTGATGTCCTGGAAGAGATAAAGTGCTTGGTTACTGCATTTATCCTGCATCAGTTCAGGCTCTTAGACTATGAGAACTTTAACCATTTTCAGCTGCTAAAAGATTTGATAAGAACATGATGTAATATACCTTTTATTTAGCGTGGCAACCTAACATTCTAAATAAGAATGAAGTTTGCCAATAGTTGAAGCAGAAAACTTTTGGATTTCTTAAAACAGTATGTTTTTTTCATACTTCTCTAAGATAGATTTTAACCCAAATGAAAGTGGATTTTTTCTTTTCATGTAAATGAGGTACATGATGTTATTTTTTAATTTCTCCTGAAGATGGATTTTCAGAGATCTTCCCTCTTAATGAAAATTTATTGCTGAGTGTTTGGTTGCAAAAGGTATATATTTTTACCATACGCAAACAGCAATTTTCTCTACCAAAACAGCAATAGACTAATGCAAACTCACATCTAGCAACCCATAGGAGTATTGTATTTTAAGTACCAACAAACTTGCATGATCCCAGTATCTAAAAGGGTTAAAAACAAAGCTAATACTATTAAGTTTGAAAGTGTCTTCCAGCTCTTAACCTAATGCAGGTATCTCCATAATTACTCCTCCATTCATTTGTATTCAAGACTCCTGATAGCACGTGAATCTAAGAGGCAATGGCATAGTTTCCATGAAGGGACAGCTTTAGAATAAACACTATCTGTGTTTATATAAATATAAGTTCAACTTTTGGGCCCCACCAGCTGTACTCAGGGAACACTCCTGGCTCGATGCTTGAGGGTTATGCCTGGTGATAATCAAAGGAACATGAGTTCCAGAGATAAAACCTAGACCTCCTGCATGCAAATCATGTTCTGTTCTCTGCCCCTTTCGGCCAACACCCCAGCCTGTCACTGATATTCCTTTAGTTCTCCCCAAACATACCGTTAAATTCAAATAAGAAATAAACACGTATAACAATTAGGTCTAAAATAAAATGATGAACAAATGTTACTATGGAGTAACTAAAAACAAAGATTGAGAATAGTTCTTCAAAATTGAGCCTCTAAATGGTTATAGATTAAATATAATGGAATGGAGAGTGTGGGTAGGGGGTAGAATGATAAAATAAATATAATACCACATTGCTGGAGTGATAGCACAATGGGTAGGGCATTTGCCTTGCAAGCAGCCAACATGGCCAACCCGAGTTCGATTCCTCCACCCCTCTCGGAGAGCCCGGCAAGCTACTGATAGTATCTCGCCCGCACGGCAGAGCCTGGCAAGCTACCCGTGACGTATTCAGTATGCCAAACACAGTAACAACAATTTTCATGATGGAGACGTTACTGGGCCCGCTCGAGAAAATCGATGAACAATGGGAGGACAGTGACAGTGACAGTGATTGTTGAAGTACAAACATGTCAAGAGGGAAATTATTTTCTAAGGATATAGTGTCACTAAATCATTGACTTTTACTAGTGTCCCAGTGAACTCCCCATTTGCTAGTCACAAAGAAATAAATTCTAAGAAACAAAATAAAGAGGCAATTACACAAGGAAGATAGAAAAATCTCAATGTAAGACAGTTAAAAATAAAGCAAATGACTTAAATCAAGGAACATTATACTTCCTCTATTACTTCATTCTATTTTATTATTTGATTCTATTAGTTCTATGCTTGGGCCGGAGTGATAACATAAAGGGTAGGGTGTTTGCCTTGCACGCGGCTGACCCGGGTTCGATTCCCCTACCCTCTCGGAGAGCCAGCAAGCTACCGAGAGTATTCGGCCCGCATGGCAAAGCCTAGCAAGCTACCCGTGACGTATTTGATATGCCAAAAACAGTAACAAGTGTCACAATATGTTGTGAGACGTTACTGGTGCCCACTCGAGCAAATCGCTGAACAATGGGAGGACGGTGTCACAGGGCTACAGTGCGATCTCTATGCTTGTATTACTCCATTACTTCAGTTTCCTCTTTTGAAAGATGTAAATTAGAGTAATGCATGATCTGCGTGCTTCGGTATTGTAGAGCAAATGAATCAGTCACCTCCAATTTTGAAACTTTGATTACATAGTCCTATATTTAATTCTAAATATTAGTGACTTAAAAATGTCAGTGAGATTCAATGTATTAGCCTGTAAAATAAAGTTTTGACATAGGCCTTCCTAAATCCAAGTGATCTTATAAAAACCAAGTTTTCACTAGCACAGTCTGAGGCATCAAGTACTCTAAAGGTTTTGAATTCCATACAAAAAACAGTGTGGAGGAAGATATTATGTCCACGTCTCCATCCCGATGCCCCCGAGAGTCTCCCAGGGTGACTTTGTTGTTGTCTAGAGATGACAAAAGCGTCTACCCATTGGACAGCATCAGGAAGTAAAGCTAGAATGTATGGAATAGCTGCTGACAGTAGAATGTGCGCATATAGGACAGAGAGTTAAGAGAAAATTCCACCATCAACATTCTAGACATTAACTACCAATACTGTTACAAGTGGTTAGGAAACAGTAAATTAAAGTATGTAATTTCTTCCCAAAGGAGGTAGAAACACACAATCATTACTTAGAGCTGAAATTGGACTGGGAACAGTCGGCCACATGCATTACAGGGAAGCAATGCTTCAGTGGCAGTGAAGTGACCCAAATGACACTGCAGATCTTTTTCATATTTAATGTTGAACTGGCAAAAATAGTTGCATTGTTACAGGAATGTGCAATGGAAGTCATCCCCGTGGGAATACTCAATCAACACTTTAATGTTGCTTAATAAGAGCTATTTTCCCTTTCAGGTGCAACATATTGAAGTTTGAGGGAACAGCTAAATTGTAGCACTTGGGAAAATCTTTACTGATGGTCTGATGTAATTTCTAAAACAAATTCATATTTTAGCCTTGGTTTAAACAGTGATACCAACAGCAAACGCATCCTGTCGCCTTTGGGGGGCTGGGCAGTGCCCCTGAGAGTAAATTAGGAGGTTCTACATGGCTGTTGCCATCAGCCTACGGGGTTGAGGGGAGCGTCAGCCCTGACTGTCCCTGCCAAAGAAAATAAAAGAAACTCAGATGTTATTAGCATAAAAAGTTTATATTTAGGTTTGAAGGAAGATATAAATGTGTGCTGGACGTGGGAATATGGAATTTTCCAAAGGTAATCATGAGACCAAACCTTTTGCTACAATAGATGGAAAGGGCATTAAGGTGCTGAAATAAAGGAACGTATTAACTAAAACATAGAGTGTGATTTGATATGTAAAATAAACCAAAGTGAAACTTTGGTTAATAGTAAGGTTAATATGAGGTGATGGAGGTTTGAGACCTGGCTTCTTTAAAAGCGCTACTCAGATTAGTCACAAACCTATAAGAAAATCAGTTGATCTTCCCATGATTTTGTACCAATCTGTGCTTATGTAATTCAAAATCAATGATTCTCAATTAATGGTTAAATGGACATTATGCTGGCCCAGGGATATTTGAGTTATGTGGTTGAGGGTGCAGAAAGGATGCGATAGCTTTTTTAACCTGATTTTATTTTAATTATCAAACATTTGGCAGAAAAATAAAACTCATTTCTATAATACACTTAGTACTTTCTCAGCAACTTTTTTTCTTCCAATTTATTAACATTCAGCTACTTTCTTATAATGATGGGGGGGAAATGAATTAACTCCCTACATCTTCTAGAAGTTGCAAAACTCAATTATATTATTAAATTATCCTGATTCAATCGGAAATTTCCATTTTTTAAAAAATATTTTCATATAGTTGTTCACATTCATTGGTAGCATTCAATATATCAACACCAATTCCATCACGATCACACCTTCCCACCATCATTATTTCAAATAGTAGATTTCAGTGTTTTAGAACAAAAATTTTATGACTCAAATTTGGAAGATTTTTCTCCCTCTGGGATATTATTTTTAGACACTTCTTAGAAGTTTGAAATAAAAATACAACAATTTCATAATTCTAAAGACCAGTTGAACTTTCAGTACTACAATAGAATACTCACACCAGAGAGTTTCTTTCAAGGTGTCAAAGTTTTCAAGATAGCTAAGAAACAATGCAGGTAAAGGAGGCAAGAACTGAGGACAAATACTGAATCAGATTGAAATCCCAGGTGTGCTGATGCCTATTTTTAAAATTGGTTTTTATGTATCAAAATATATTATAAAAACTCTACATAACTAGTAATACTTCTAAAAAAGTTTTGAGTTCATATTTATTGAAAATTAGAATGACTTTGTGTGAATTATTTCAGAATCAGAGCACTTTTTTGTTTGCCAATAGTTTCCTTGATTCTTCTCACTGAAGTTTCTCTATTTGACACATAGAGGTAAAAAAATATGAAACTGCCATTTATTAGTAATTATATAGAAGTAAAAATGTTGTGACAATTCTGAAAGTTTATTTTATAATCTGTGTTGACATTTGTAAAAAATAAGCAAAAAAAGCAATAACCTAGATGTAGTTTATAGATTTTCTATCATGTCTAATAGTTCATGTTTTATAAACTGTTGGTTTGAATTATTGCATTTGCTACATATAAAAATAGAAAATTTCTAAAAGAAATCAAATTAAATAAAATATTCAGATGAATAGCAGAGCTACATGACATATTCTTATAAGAATTATGTTTTTTTAATTTAACACTGTAAACAAGACCAAAAAAGTGACAATGAGCCATTCTTATATATCTGTAAGTTTTTATTTTAACCAAAATTATAATATAGAACTGGAAGCAGCATAGAACCAGAGTCTATGATGTTTGCTTTTCTGTTCCATTAGTACTTTCCAACATGTTGCTTAAGACGCAAACTCACTGATTCTTCCTCCACTTAAATATATTTTACTGGGATTGGATGGAGAGATGAATGAAATTCCTCAAGTATTTATTGTAGTTTTATAATACTTTCACTTATATTTTGCTCTACATATAATTATAGCATATATGTAGTATACTTTGATAGATATACTCTGGTTTTCATGTAATTATTTCTAAAAGGGGATTTTACATTATATAAGGAAAACTAACAACCTAGTTGTATTAAATATGGGAATTTATTGGTCTGACTTTATTGATTTATTTATTTATTGGTCTGACTGATTTAATATAGGTTATACCATAGAAAAATCCTGCTTCATTTTTTGTTTGATTTTATTAGATTACAGGCCCTTCTATAAACTGATTACTTCCACCAGTGAAATATTATAGACAATTTTAAGTTGCAAAAATAGTGAGTTCTGGACTAAAGGAAAAGATGAAGTGTGGAGTGATCACTGTGCATGCAGGAGTCCCAAGTATGATTCTCATTACAACACGGTCCCCTGGGAACCATCAGGAGCCATCCCTGAACACTGAGCTGGGTATTGACCTTGAGCATTGCCATATGAAGTCTAAAAAAAAGCAAATAAGAACAAATGGTGCATTCTCTTCAGGAACTAAAAAAATGAGGACATGGGAAAAGTATGTGTCATTCAATAGAAAGTCATGATGGACATTTTTAAAAATGGACAGTGGCTTCAATGTGGCATGAAGGAGAGGAAAATATAGAAATAAGCCAAGTAATGAACATGTCATCTGAATTGAAAGAAAATTCCCTGCATGAAGACTGAGCTATATGGAGGAAATCTCCTTCATTTTTTACATTGTTTTTTCTTATATCCTAACATAATTAGTATAAACAGAATTAAAGACAGTTTATAATTTTCTGAACATAAGTTCAGATCAGTAAACTTTTACCCTCAAAGAACTCAATCATAAACTAAGTATAAATAAAATGCCTTCCATTTAATGGGTACTCAGTAGATATTGAGTGCCTAACCTAATAAAATAAAGAGAATAAAATGATATCTGTATTTTCTAAGAGTATGTATCAAATAAAAAATCAAATCCAGGGGTGGAGTCTGGAGAGGTATGACCGAGACTTAAACCTGAAAGCATAGTAACTTTTCCCACAGTGATTCAATAAATAAATATAAAAAGAAAAATAAATAAATAAAATTTTTAAAAAATTGTCCACAAATATAAAATAAAATCTCCAATGGGAAAAAAAGAAAAGAAAAGAAGAAACAATTTAGAATGAAAGCTTAAATAGCTATAAGATTGCCACAATTGTATTAAAATGTCAGTAGAATAGAGAATTATCTCTGATATATAGGTATCTGCGTCTTGGCCGTTGATGGGACCAACCTGGCGCTGCTGGCAGCTGGTGGGTGTGACGGCTACCTACTGGAAGATGGAGGGTCTGGGTGGAGAAGGCCCAGTCCCAATCCGAGTAGGCTTGGAGACCTCAGCCCCAGGACCCGCGTGCCTGGGTTCCTATGCCAGTTCTTTCATGGGTGAGGCCCGTCCAGATGTGTGGAGAGTGGTCCCAGCATGGCCATGGCTGGCTCCGGAGGTCCTCAGCTGCTGGGGCTCTGCTCGGGGTCCCCCCTCCAAGGGGCCCCGGTGAGGACAGCCAGGCGTGGGGCAGGAGACTTGGATTGGGACTAGTTCTTCTCCACCTAGACCCTTCATCTTCCAGTAGGTAGGCATCACACTGACCAGCTGCAGCCAGCGCCAGGTTGGTCCCATCAATGGCCAAGATGCAGAGACTATAAAACCCAGCTCCCGGAGGAGAGCAGTGCAGAGTCTCCTGCCCCCATGACATCTTATCATCTTATATTTCCTATGGAGAACCTGGCAGGCTACCAAAAGTATCCTGCCCGCACGGCAGAGTCTGGCAAGCTTCCCGTGTTGTGTTCAATATGCCAAATACCACTAACAATGATAGGTCTCATTCTCCTAATCCTGAAAGAGCATTGAAATGGCTCTTTTAAAATTTCAAGGCTAGGAAGAAAGAGACGTTACTGGTGCCTGTTTGAGGAAATCGACGAACAACAGGATGATCATGATCATGATATAGGTATCATCAAATCAAGTTACTCCTTAATCAAAAGCAATAGAAAGCTTTACAAAAGTTTTAGAACAAAATCCAAATATGCCTTGTGCCTGTTTCTTATTTCATCACCCATTGTTTTTGTTTTATTACCATCATATTGAACTTTCTGACTTCAAAACCAGTATACTAGGTTTTGTTCTGTAAGATTTTTTATGGATATTTTTTCTCCTTTCCCCACCAAAATTCCACGACTAGTTCCTTCTCATTAATCAGTTCTCAGAGCAAATGCCACATCTTCAAACAGTTTCTATCATACGATTAATACCATTTCCATCATCGCAAATGCTTTTTTTCCTCCTTCTTCTGAAAGTTGGTGTAGCATTTATTATTATTGCTTACTTTAATAGTAGTTTGTTTTACTGTTCATTTCCATTTTTTAGAAACAAAAATTCTAAAAGCAGGAGATAAGAACCTATTTTATATGATACCAAATACCAAGAACTGGGGTTGGCATTTAATAGCTGATCAATTATTATCAGTATAAAATATTATTTTATGGCCGAGGGTTTAATGCCCTAGACAATTGAAACTTGAAGCTCTCTTCAATATTGAGAATCTAAAGGAAAATATGATTCTATAATAAATTTCTTTGTATTGGTTTTGAGTATTTTTACTACCTAAAAAACACTTTTTCTGAATTGGTTGTTAGTTGTAATTTTAGAATGGTAATCCTAATTTCTTGATAAAATTACAAAAATACATTTAAAATATATTTTGAAATTGATCGCATTAAAATTGTGATCTATTCTTTAGTGGCATATTATCTTTGGACTGCTTTAAAGAAATTGACCAGGCAACTTAAAGTGTTTTGACAAATTAATCACATTGAATGCCATCTTACATTTAATTAGGAGTCCAGTGATCCTTTTTATGAATCACTAGTTACAAATGCAACCAACTATAGCACATAAACTGTCCTCAAATGATAATGAAAAAACAAAGGAGAACACAAAAAAACTAAAGGCTAGATGGGAGGGAAATGAGAAGCACTTGAGTTTACTACAAGTTTCACAAAATTTCTAGTATTTATTGTCTGGTCCCA